GTCTCCCTGCTGACGACTGTCTTCCTGCTGACGACTGCCTCTCCTGACGACTGCCTCCCCTGCTGACGACTGTCTCTCCCTGCTGACGACTGCCTCTCCCTGCTGACGACTGTCTCTCCCTGCTGACGACTGTCTCTCCCTGCTGACGACTGTCTCCCTGCTGACGACTGTCTCTCCCTGCTGACGACTGTCTCTCCCTGGGTTATCCTTTGATCAAAAGCTAACAACTGGGATCACTTTTCTTGTAATTTTCCCTAAAAAATAAAGAACTTCTCCGTCATCTTAGCAACACTGAGTGAGTGAGCCAACACTTGCCTGACAACCACACTTGACTAACTCAACCTCTGCTGACTCACGCTTCAGCCATAGTATCTCTAGCAGTCTGGGATGGGGGGGGGGGCGTGGGGGGGGTAGACAAAGGGAATCTCGTAGTAGAGGTTTTGCCTGGGGTGATTAGGTGACAGTCTTTCCAGTAATAACCAGATGTATCAACCCCACGACGTCTGGTGGCTGCTGTAGGTCGTTGGGCGAGGTAGTACAAGAGTCTCTGAGCGAGGTTTCAGGCCACCACACGCCCTTCACTACCTGGCTGCCGAGGTGTGTTCCTCCTCTACCGTGCATCACTCCAGGTAATATCATCAACCTGAACACCAGTTTATTGTTGAGTGATGAAGGAAGACAGTTGTAAAGAGCATCACGTCAATATTCCTCGCTGTTCTGTAGGTGAGAGGTGAAGGTCAGGTGAGGTATTGTAACAGTAAACAGTATTGACCTTAACACGGTAGACATAAACAAACTTGAGAAAACAAAAGTAGGACTGTAAATGAATAAAATAAGTTGGTAATGGTGTTAAGTTTCCTCGTCGGTGTAAAGTTGTATTTTTTTGAGAATTATTTAGCGTCTTACCTCCCCCAAACACTTCTTACCTTCACAAACTTTCCCCCCTTCCTTTCCTTACCCCTTTGCCTCCTTCCTCCCCTCTTTCCCTTCCCCTCCCTCCACTCTTCCCTCCTGTCTCCCTTCCCCTCCCCCTGCCCCTACCTCCACTCTTCATCTCCCTTCCCCTCCCACTTTCCTTCTCCTCCCTCGTTGAATTCTTGAAGATTATCGTCATTTTTTTTCTCTTTCCTTGTTTGGTCGAGATCGGTCAGAGGTCAGGGAGAAAAGGTCATCCTAGTGGGTGAGGGTATATGGGTAGGGGGTGAGGGGGCAGGGGAAGGGGATCTCCCTGTATCACGGCGTCAAAACTTTCAGATTGATCCTCAACCTTTACTCACGACCGCTGGGACGGGTGATAGAGGTTTAGTAAAGTACCGTATTGGTGCTCTCTCTCTCTCTCTCTCCTCACCGATCTTCCCCTTCGCCCGTCACAGGTAGTGGTGGTGGGCGGGGGAGATATTTGTGGTCGATCACCGCCACGTCCCACGCTGGGCGAGGGAAACCTCCGTCAGACGGCTCTCAGGCCCTTCTGCGTCCTGCTGATAGCCTACTGCAGGAGGGACGGACACGGTGAGAGTTGGAGGCGTCCAGGCACGTACACAGATAAGAAAATCAAGAAATAGAGATGGTTGACATTTACGTCTCTGTTTATACATTATATTATGTATATATTATAGTTTATATATATACGTGTGTGTGTGTGTGTGTGTGTGTGTGTGTGGTGTGTATGCGTGTGTGTGCAAGTGTGTGCGCAGGCGTGTGTGCGTGTGTGTGAAATGGCAAAAAATTGACAACCAAACACTAATGAACCACCACCACCCTACCTCCTCACCATCACCACCCCCACTCACACCTCCCAATTTGCCACCACCACCTCACCTCACCACCACCCTCACCCTCACCACCACCTCACCCTCACCACCACCCCCACCCCCTCACCCTCACCTCCACCTCCTCCTTCACGTAAAGACCCGCACATGACCACCTTAAAGCCATATCTTCGTCCCTGTATACTCATATTATCAACATGTTAAGAGCTTCTCCCAACCACCTGGGGCATCGAACCCACGACCTCAATGCCAAAAAAATAAGAAAAAACATAAAAATCGGACAATTATATCATGTAAGTCTCTTGGAAGTCTCTATCTCACCCCGAGTATTTCTCCCGTGTTGAGAAGTATTCCTCAGTATCTCATGAGACACACTGGTGGAGGGGATAAAGGGGGGGGGGGGTGGCAGTAGTCTCTCGTTCTGAGTGTCGTGGGATGGTTCCTTTGTCTGCTGTTATTGAGCTGTTTATATTGAGTTATACTGTTACCTGCTGTTATTGAGCTGTTTCTACTGAGTTATACTGTTACCTGCTGTTATTGAGCTGTTTCTACTGAGTTATACTGTTACCTGCTGTTATTGAGCTGTTTCTACTGAGTTAAGCTGTTACCTGCTGTTAAGCATGCGAGTATCACCTGTGCCCCTTCACCTGAATACAAACAGGTGTCTCAAGCGCTCGTTCGTGACCGTAATATATTTAATGGGTATTTTATTCATTTAATTTATTTTTTATCGAATTTACAATTACGATGACCAGTAATGTTTATATTTTTATTTGTTGTTTGTTTGTGAGTTGTTGTTGTTCCTTCTTCCTTCCTTCTTCGTCTTCTTGTTGTTGTTGTTCCTTCTTCCTTCCTTCCTTCCTTCCTTCTTCTTCTTCTTCTTCTTCTTGTCGTTATTCCTTCTTCCTTCCTTCCTTCCTTCTTCTTATAATAGAGACATCAGCCATTACAGCCGGCCTTACGCTGCATAGATCACAACACCTGGACTCTGAACCCGGCAATGGCCACCTGAACCCTGAACCCGGCCATGGCCACCTGAACCCTGAACCCGGCTATGGCCACCTGAACCCTGAACCCGGCCATGGCCACCTGAACCCTGAACCCGGCTATGGCCACCTGAACCCTGAACCCGGCCATGGCCACCTGAACCTGAACCCGGTTGTAACCACCTGAATTTCCCTGAACAGCCGCAGCCACCTGAACCCTGAACCCGGCCATGGCCACCTGAACCCTGAACCCGGATATGGCCACCTGAACCCTGAACCCGGCCATGGCCACCTGAACCCTGAACCCGGCCATGGCCACCTGAACCCTGAACCCGGCCATGGCCACACAGACTCCCTGAACCCGTATGTGTGTTACTCAGGGGAGAATCAGTCACATACATACATACATACATACATACATACATACATACATACATACATACATACATACACGGAAGACTTCACAAAACAAAGTTAAACATATCATTGGATTTAGTGAACTTTGGTCTGAGTCTTCGTGCTGCTGTCAAAAATGATTTAGTTGTTACTGAAGGGAGGCGGTGGATAGACATCACCCGTCTTGAAAATGTTATAGTATTGTGTGTAACCTAACCTAACCTAACCTAACCTAACCTAACCTAACTCTCTGAAAAAATAACACGACAAAAATTAAATCTCTCTCTCTCTCTCTCTCTCTCTCTCTCTCTCTCTCTCTCTCTCTCTCTCTCTCTCTCTCTCTCTCTCTCTCTCTCTCTCTCTCTCTCTCTCTCTCTCTCTCTCTCTCTCTCGAACACACAATCAGAGAGGAATGTGCAGTAATCAAAACAGTAATATTCTTCTATTTTTGTTTTTCATTAAACGAATATTATTTTATACATACAGAGTTAGCAATTATACCAAGCTGAATGAGTTAATAAATTGGTTGTGTTTGTGTTTGATTTAGGTGTCTGTCTGTCTTTCTGTCTCTATGTCTGTCTGTGTCTGTCTGTCATGAGAATTTTTAAATAATAATAATAATAATAATGACGATGGATATATTTTTTATCGTTTATTAAGGAAAGCAAATCTATATTAAGGGGAAACTCAGGAAAAAAATATTTATCGTCATTTTTATTTTTTCATAATAAAATAATTTCACATCTATAATAAGAACAAACTCAAAAACTAATATAACTTCTTTTTTATAATTAATCTGAAAACTCACAACTATTATAAAAAAAAAAAAATAAATAAATAGTCCCCCGTTTTTTTAATAAAGAAAACCAATACCAATTAAGAGCCAACTCAAGTAAAATTCATTGTCCATTAATTCCCTCATGTTTTCCTAGCCCCACTGCCTTAGCCCCTTGGAAAATCGTTATTACCCTGAGCCCTGACACGTTAACAAACACTTAACAACGCCGTGTATAGTGGAGATAAAGTTTCTAGCCAGGGGATAATGTTACGGTATCGGGTAAGTAACGAGATGGTTAAACCGGTGATAAAAGTTCATATGTTATTGATATGGGTGATAGTAATGGCTCCCTAACCTAACCTAACCTAACCTAACCTAACCTAACCTAACCTAACCTAACCTAACCTAACCTAACCCAAAAACAAAGAAAAATAACTAATAAATTCTGTCGACGAGGCTGGTGTAATAATTTATTAACTCTCAGGTGTGTCTCTTAATTGTCTTTCATTTGTTTACCTGTGTTGGGTGTCACAGGTCAGGTGTGTAATCTGTCTAATTAATACGGTGAAAATAATCACATATAACGCCATTAATATAAACACCATAACGCTGTCAATATAACACAATAACATTAATATTATACGATAACACCATCAACAACACCATAACACCAAAAACAACACGATACACCAAAAACAACACCATAACACCCTCAACACCATTAAAACAACACCATAACACCATGAAACTCGCCTGGGGAGGACTCGTTTCACTGCTCCCGTATGTAAACAATGAAGCTAAATCAAGAGCGAACATTATCCCACTGTGTGTGTGTGTGTGTGTGTGTGTGTGTGTGTGTGTGTGTGTGTGTGTGTGTGTGTGTGTGTGTGTGCACTCATGCTCTCCACTACACAGTACACTAGACAGCTCATCTGACAAATATTTGTACACATGTAGACATATTTTATCCCTGTCAGCGATGTCATAGGGGGTGCTATATGTGGAGAGAGAGAGAGAGAGAGAGAGAGAGAGTAACACACACACACACATTTAAATACCACCGCCGTACAGATGTGTTCGTGGTTATTCTCTAACACGACAGACGACGACGACTCACGCCCAGAAGACCTCACCACCTCGCCAAAGTCACACAACCACACGTCTTCATCAACACACGGACAAGTGCCATCCCCGAGCTCTGTGGCACCCATTAACCGAGTGCTAGCCGCCACAAAGCCCTCACCACCGGACCAACTTGGATCAGGAGAGAGGCAGTTGTTACCGTACAGAATGACGGAGACTCCTCAACACACTGAACACTCCAAGTTACTCAGGACATCAAGGCAGTTAGACTCCCCCACACACCAAGGGTTACCACCACTACGTCCTCCTCGAAAGTCCTCCTCACACTCCATATCCCTGGTGACGTCCTCGACCTCCCTGATGTTGTCCTCCTCGATGCTGGCCTTATCGACGACTCAGGTGTCAACGCCAACCAGAGTCACGTCGGTGGCACTGGTGCGAGGACCTGTGAACCCGGAGCAGGTCAGTCCTGATGGTGGTGGTACTGTGTGGCTGGTGTTGGTGGGTTACTCTCTCTCTCTCTCTCTCTCTCTCTCTCTCTCTCTCTCTCTCTCTCTCTGTGTCTTAATTCTTTTCGGTATAATTTAAGTTTTGTCAAATATAAGTTATTTTTTATGTATATTGAAAGTAATTTTTCTTCCATATTTTAATTGATCTGTGTTACCTGTTAATAACCTGACCTCTCTTACCTGTATCAGATAACACTAACACTTAACTACTAAATGGTAATACGTGTAACCTCTCTTTTGTATAGGTATATTTTAAACTTCTTTTTAATTATATTTTTTTTTATTTTTGCTTCAGGATTCGATTTCCATTTTTATATAATAATTTTGTTATGCCTCTCACAGTATCGTATCAGGTAACATAGGTCATTAAATATGAGTTAGTATTATATATTTTTATTTAGTATTTTTTTTTTCATTTGTATTGAATTTATTTTCTCGTAGCTCGTATCACTTTAGTTCAGGGCTGTTAGTGGGTGGTCGCTGTAGACAGGTGGTTGTTATAGCCAGGTGGGTCTTGTAGAGAGATGGACGTTCTACAGAGGGTCGCCGCTGTAGTGAGGTCGATGCCACACAACACGTAAATAACAACAAAAGGTTTACTGGCAAAAAATGTGACTACCAGAAAAAATAGATAAATAAAAAACTATTGGTAACTGATACAAATTGTGCATAGATGTGTACATGTGTACCTGGATCTTCATACACACATACGTACACACACCTATACATACACACCCCCCACACACCCACCACCACACCCCCACACACCCTCACACACACCCCACCACACACACCACACCCCACCCACACACCCCACACACCCACCACCACACCCACACCCCCACACCCCTACCACACACCCCACCACCCCTCCACACACCCACCACCACACCCCACCCCCACACACCACCCACACACACCCACCACACACCCCACCACCACACCCACCACACCACCACCACCACCACACCCCCCACACACACCCACCACCACACCCCCCCACACCCCACCCACACCACCCCACCCCCACACACCCACCACCCACACACACACCCACCACCACCCACCACCACCCACCACCCCACACACCCACCACCCACCCCCACACCCACCACCACACCCACCACCACACCCACCACCCACCACCACCCCACACACCCACCACACACACCACCACACCCACACACCACCACACACACACCACACCACCACCCATCCACCCCACACCCACCACACACCCACCACCACCCACCCACCACCCACCCACCACCACCGACCACCACCACCACACACCCACCACCACACACCCACCATGCCCCACCACCACACCCACCACACCCCCACACACACACACACACCACCCCCACCCACCACCACGCCCCACCACCACCCCACACACCCACCACCACCACCACACCCCCACACCCCACACACCCACACACCCACCACCCACACCCACCACACCCACCCCCACCCACCACACACCCACCACACCCACCACACCCACCCCACACCCACCCACCACCCACCACCACCCACCACCACACCCAAACCAATTTACCATCAGTCATTTCATCACCAAACAATATTGGGAGATTAACTCACACGTGACTTGACAAAAACTCCGCCACAAAATTACTCGATCGGTGAAGCGTCGTTGTTGGCCGCTAAATATAGACGGTGGGGACGCTGGTAAAACTCCTGCGCTGCCAATATCCTTCACCCTCTTGATTGACGCCCTCCCAAGGCCTCTTATCATGTTAGATAATGGTCTCTTGGGGCCTAATCGTGGGAGATAATGGCCTCCTACGCCTCCATCATGGGGGATAAAGGTTCCCTATGCTTCTACCTAGGAGATAATGGCCTCCTATGCCTCCCTTTCACTAACCTGAAGAATCGGCCTCTCACTCTACCCTGGGAGACAGAGGCGTGACCATCCCTGGGGAGACAACTAACACGGGGGAATTCAATTAACAGTTTTTATTTTAGACAATATCGTGTGTGTGTGGGAGAGGAGGGAAAGAGGAAGAGAGAGGTGCTCCTCACAAGCACAGAGTCGTGTTATGAATATGAATCACAGCTCCCAGAAGAACCCACAATGTAAGGAGGACAACAACAACAAAAAATATTCCACTTATCCGGCTAACGAAGTAGCGACACAGAGGTGGGGTCTTATTATTCTGTGTCTGTCTGTCTGTCTGTCTGTCTGTCTGTCTGTCTGTTTGCATTTCTGCTTCTCTGTCTGCCTCATCTGTCTATTTACTTGTGTTTCTCTCAGTTTCTTTTTCCTTCTCCTCCCTCCTCCTCTTTCTCCTTCTCTTGTTGACGTTATTCCCTCCTCCTCCTCCTGCAAATTCTCACCTTTACCTCCATCTCTCTCACTACTCTCCTCTACCTCTCCCTCTCCCCATTTATCTATATTCTCTCTCTCTCTCTCTCTCTTCCTCTTCGTGTTTGTTTTGTTTTACACGAGTCCTCACATGTCACCTGGATCCTCACCTGTGCAGCTATTAACCTTTTACATATTCCTTGACAAGACTATCGTGAGAGAGAGACGTCCTCTCTCCACACACACACACACATCACCACATGTCTTCAGGCGAGTGTCAAGAGGAATACTGGAACGCTTTGACTGGTTTGTTGATGTGTCTACCAGCATTGCCTCTGGAAGACCCGCAGTGTTCTGCCTCTAACCCTTCATTCCTCCCTCCTTCCTTCCACACACGCCACTCTCCTCCCTCTCCCTCCCTCCCTCCTCATTCCTTCTTCTTTCACATCGCCCATTCTTTCCTTCACGCACCCCATCTATCTAATCCTTCCTTCTATCCATCTTACTTCTCTATCTCTATGTTTCATTGTCCTTTTGTTGGGGTCGTTGGTCGTTCTGGTCGCAGAGCAATACGTAACTGAACGAAGTACATCA